ATTTTCTCAATCTTTATCTGCAGGGTCTCTCCAATGGTGTGTGCTTCTTTTAAAGGTAATTCTTCAGGGAGTTCTATGTCTACCTGTATAAGATGAAAAGAAATTATTATTGGCTATATCATTTTAGTGCCACAAAAGGAGAATCACACACAAAACTGACCTCAACGAAATAAAGAACGCCAGAGGTATAAGCACGGACAGTGTGAATTCGCTTTACTAGGGGGTGCCTTATTACCAGATATGTTACTTTTTGCAAGAAATCCGGAGGAGCTGATTGTCCTACAAGTAACACTGCATCAAGAAATAAGCCTCACCATGAAATCAAATACAAATCTATGAATGGCAAAAGGCAAGTATACACTAATTTTTCCTAAAGTGAAAAGAAACCAAATCAAATGATCATCTATGATAAATAATCATTAGACTAAAACAAGCAAGGAAGAGAAAACATACTTGCATTCTCCATAACATTTCCTGACCAATTTATAATTGTATAAAGTGCAACGGCGATAGCCCCAGCAGGATCAATCCACCAGCAAATTTTATCACCGAGAACAGCTGCAACTAATCCCACCAAATTTGTCACCACGTCGTGATCCTAAGAATAAGAATTCAAGGAATTATGCGACTGACAATTAGAAGCAAAAGAGAATTGAATTCATGATTGAAGCATAAAGCAGAAAACCTCTGCATGAGCACGGACAATCATGTTCCGTGAAGTTCTACAGTAAAGCCAGAGGGCAAGTTTTACCCCTATGGCAGTTATCATGATGGCGTACAACCATATCAATTGATTGGAGGACATTTTCTCTGAAGGTTCATCCTTAATTAGTTCCTCTAGAGCTTGGATCAACACCTGAAGGCCTGTAAACAAGCACAAAGGTTGTAGACACTTCAATGATGCAAAAGGAATGTAGACATGTTTAGATGCCTTTATTTTTCTCTGCTTAATGCATGGCAGCATCTATAGGATAGCAATCCCAAGAAACAGTAATGGAAGCTTAGTGAGAATAGAAGATATAACACATATTCAGCTTAGATGCATTGTTATCAAACAAGATGGATTCTACTAGAAGAAAATTCATGGAAAGATCAAAACACGGGGAGTCATAACCATGGTTCAAATAAAAGATTAATGGGTGATGGACAAATTAATAGTATGTTTGGGCTGAAAGGGATGGAGAGGAGGGAAAACAATTTTTCTATTTGGTTATTAAAAAAATTAGAGGCGAGGGGAGAGGAAAAATTATCCTTTTAAAAAAAAAAAAAAATTAGTTACTTATTCAAATGAGAGGAAGGAAGGATAAGGGAATTGAAGGATATAATTTCCATTCCCTTCCTTCCCCTCCCCTCCATTCCCCTCAACCCAAATATAAGGTAGAGGTGCAGGGAAGTTCACTGTAAAAATTCAATCAAATTCAACAAGCAACGAACATACCGAGCATAGCCATAACAGCGGCAAAGAGAATTATGCCTAGTGGTTGTACCCTCAGTTTTCCAATAGGATACTTATAAATGTTTACATCTTTCATTGACGAGTAAGCAAACCAAAGTATACTACGAGCCATGAGCTCAAGAAAAGAGTCCAATGTTGATGCTGCTATAACTATGCATCCACTCGTTATTGTGGCATAGATCTGCACAACATGGATATTGTTACCTGAAGAGTGGGAATATAAGAGTATATAGAAAGGAATCACAGATTCCAATGCATCCTAAAATCCTCACAATTAATTGCCAAACATAGTTTCCTCCATAAAGATACGATAATGATGAGAAACAGTTCTGGAGATCGGATATCAAATTGACCACGAAACAAGTAGTAAAAACTTACCTTGAGTATCAGCAAGACTATATTTGCATAATTAGAAATCTTCATGGCTCTTTCTTGTTCAATTTGCTCTCTTTTTTGTTGGATTTGCTCCTCATCTTGCTCATTTTCGTCAACAACGTCCTGTGTGGACGGATCCAAAGCATCAACTTCCTCAAAGGATTTCAAGGTTGCAAATTGTTTTTCATAGTATTCCTTTTCCCCTACACATTGAATTGTCAATCCCGATTAGGCTCTGGCTCCCCATGGTTCCCGAGAAAACACAGAAAAACAAAATCACTCTCTTATAAACCTTATCATTTGTTTCTGTCTGGTACAAAATGGATCCAGAAAACTCATAGAAAGAAGAAAAATTGAACAAAAAGAAGGGAAAACACGCAGTTCTCTCCTTTATCTTAAACTCCCACATGTCTTTTACATTTTCTAAGCAATCAAACACCCATTTTTGCGTTAAGGGGTCATCTCATCAAATTATCATCTCTGAACAAAACGGACTCTCGAGAGAAGTGAATCAGTGTACATCTTATCCTTTAACATTTCCATCGAAACCCAAAAGTATATGTCATCAACCACTGAATCAGAGCAAGACCATTGAAACACAAATGACAAACAAAGCTAGATAGAAGACGAAACAGATAGAAAGCTCTAACCTTTGGTCAAACCTTTGGTTTTTGAGACATCGATGTGGAAAGGAGACTCATCATCAACACCACAGCGAACTTTCTCTTGCAACCTTAACAAAAACTCCTTCCTCAGTGTGTTCACCGAGTTCTTCCTACGGAATAGTCCCGACCGTCTCCCGCTCCCACTCAGCAGAGGGGTCTTGGTGCCGTAACCCGATTCCCCTTCCATTTTGTACCGGTTTTCGGCGGACTTGTCTCCGTTCAAATGACAGCACTGTGTGTGTAAAGAATTGCGCATAGGTCTCGTTAAATAATTCTAATTTTTTAAAAAAAATTATAATTGTTACTATGTATACAGTATATTATAAAATAATATTACTACTTCAAAATTTATATGTTTGGCAAAAAAACTTGAAATATATATAAGTTAACATATTTTATATATTATATTTATATAAAATTTTATTTATTTTTTTAATAATTAAAATTTATTTATTTTTATTATATTTA